TCCTTTCTTGTGGTCCAAACTATGTCTGTACTTACCAAATTTCACAGAAATCGGTTCAGTAGTTTAGGCGAGAAGAAAAGACAGACAGACAGACAGACAGACTTTTTTATTATATTATTAGTTTGGATAAGCATCTTTAACATGACCTAGATTACTACTCATAGAAGCTCATATGCATTTATTTTTCCTAACTTCTAAAACGGCGCAACACTCAAAATATGTTGAAATTGTTCCACACCTATTTCATTTTAGTATTTTTAAGTTTTCGGAGTTTAAGGCGCCCGGTTCTCATGCATGGGGTTAGTATCAATGTGTTTTTTCCGAGTCATATTATGTATTTTCTATGGTTATTTAGACACTACAGACATACGGTGAAGTGAAGCATCGTGAAGAAACCTGGACTTATGATTTCTTATTATAAATTTGAAATCGCTACATAATCTGCCTTGAACAAACGTGTTGATTAATGCTCAAACCTTCTCCGTGTGAGAAGAGGCCTTTGCTCAGCAGTGGGCACTTATAGGCTGATAATGTGGTGTAATATAATGTAATGTTATAACTATCGGTTGATTATAAAATCCCAATATTGCTTTGCCCTCATCAAATAAAGACCTTGTATTTGTATTCGGCCAATTCACTATAACGATCACTAGAGCGACGATCCATAGACTCGTAAAAAAAACAGCCTTAAAATTTTTAATTTAAATATCGAATGATTTCCGCGCAGTTTATAATGCCAACAAAAACATTGTGAAGCTAACGTTAAGAGTTTGTTTAAACGCACTAACCTCCGGAACTGCTAGTTCGAATTTAAAATGTTGTCTTACTTTTTTCTGTCTGTCTTTTCTTCACGCCTAAACTACTGAACCGATTTCTGTGAAATTTGATACAGACATAGTTTGGAACTCGAAAAAGGACACAGGATAGTTTTTATACAAAAGCAATCAGCAGGAAGTCACTATTCCACGCGAACGTAGTCGCGGGCAAAAGCTAGTAGTAATATAAAAAAATATATGAATAGCGTTGGATTTAGGTTTCTCAGGAAAAACGCGGAAGCAATAATCAATAAAATCGACTACCTAGTCTAAAACTAGTCATTCCAAATCTTATGAGGAAGTCAATATCATCTATTCCTTGCTTGACACTATACGAGTATCTGCATGCTTATTTAAATAGTTTTTATGCAGGTTCATTTCAAGTTTTAAGTAAATATTGACACAGCCTCTTCGCTTCGCATGTTCTTAAGCTATTTTCAAATATCAAAGTTCACAATAACTGAATGCAGTGTGAGTATAAGATGGGTTATTTCCTTAGGAAGGTTTTTAGGCAATTTATTTTAAATCTAGCTTTAGCCCGCGTCTTCGCCTGCGTGGCGTTGATAAAAAGTAGTCTATGTCCTTTTCAAATCATCCTGTGCCAAATTTCATCCAGATCCGACCAGCCGTTTTGGCGTGATTGAGTAACAAACATCCAAACATCGTAGCTTTCGCTCTTATAAGATTAATAAGATTGGATAAAGTAGTAGTTTTCTGCTGTAATTTGTGCGGAATCGGGCTCTAAAAATGTATTTTTATTTATTGAATTTTTACTAGTACTAATAAATTGGTAATAGGGGTTTACGACTGTTGCTAACTTCTAACCAAATGTATACCTATTTGTTTTATAAATAAATATCTATTTATAGCCAACGAATTTAGGCCATTAAACACAACAATATTACTGTCGGCTAATAAAGAGTAAAAAATTGTAACTTTGTATGTAGGGGGTAATCTTTGGAACAGCTGATCTGATTTCCAAAATTCTTTCACTGATATATAGCTACAATGTTCCTGAATTCTATAGGCTACGATCAAATGGAGCCGAGCAGCTGATGAAAACAAGCAAGATTAGCTAGTTTTAAAATACAACCGGCAGTTTACAACTAGTCAAATTCAATACTTTTATTGGAATATCAAGAACTATACTTTTCTATAAATTCTATTGTATGAAACACTAATTTGATGACGTCATGTTTTTGCGTCCAATGACTTCATTCTACATTATAACTAGAAAAAAAAACGTTTACCAAATACTAGTAACTGTTACACTAAGAATAATTAAAGAAAAGGTGACTATTTTGGACATTAATTTATGACACGAATTTGGACATGAATATGGGCCTCTAGCGTGGCTTGAAACTAGTCGAATATGTCGTCAAACATTTAGTATGTCTTACAAAAGATATAATAAAATTATTTTATTGCATTGAGAAGTCGAAATTTATTATCTTGGACTGAGAAAACTACCCAATCACGTATGAAAATAACGTTGTTTTTGGCCAGTGCGTGAGAAGTCAATGGACGACTTTCCTTCTTCAAAAAAGAATCCATAATTAAATGACTGCGTTCCTAAATTACATTATTATGATTTTGACGGGGAGCAAATATTGTTGACTTCAATATGAATAACTGTAGTCGACGGAAAGGCAGCATGGATGGAAAAGGCAGTAGGTCGGTAGGAAAATATCGATCCGATTGAATAAATGTCATGACCGAATTTAGGAAGTTCAAACAACAAAATAGAAAATTTTACTGAATTACTTGCGTCGCCTGGACAGTCACCGCTACCATGAGTTGACTGGACAATCTCTTTACATGAGCTGCTGTTTACATGTGAACGTTAGCTCATGACGATACCTAAGTACGTGTGTCGCCTGGACAGTCACCGCTACCATCAGTTGACTGGACAATCTTTTTACATGAGCTGCTGTTTACATGTGAACATTAGCTCATGACGATACCTAAATACGTGTGTCGCCTGGACAGACACGGCTACCATCAGTTGACTGTACAATCTCTTTACATGAGCTGCTGGTTACATGTGAACATTAGCTCATGACGATACCTAAGTACGTGTGTCGCCTGGACAGTCACCGCTACCATCAGTTGACTGGACAATCTCTTTACATGAGCTGCTGTTTACATGTGAACATTCGCTCATGACGATACCTAAGTACGTGTGTCGCCTGGACAGTCACCGCTACCATCAGTTGACTGGACAATCTCCGTACGACAGTAGCTTAGCACGTAGGTACTCAAGTCTCTGGACAATGAACGCTTCTACCAGATAGACCGAACAATCTCTACACTGTATGAGTATTTAAATATGAAAATTACATTGAATAACTCCCCATGCCAATGCCCAAACGCACGACAAATTGATTCAAATCAATTGGCGTGGGTCTGAAAGTCGACGCGACGACCGAATTGATTCACCGACCATATACGTTGGATGGAATTCGAGCCAAAACAATTTTTGTTCGTAACATTAGATGTATGAGTCATAATTTTATCTAGGTACTTTTAGAAGTTAGGTGTTTGACTTAATAAGGATGGAGAATTATCTTCGGAAATACTTTCCAAGAAAAATGACTAAATTTTTATCATTTTTGCAGCTTGTGTCTCATAAGGGCAAAAGTCAAAAATCGTTGCGGGATCATTTCACCTTTGTTTTTAATTGTTGCCTTTGTTTAGCATGACTCATTTTGAAGACGTTTATTTCCTTTTATTTATTTACTTGGCAATTATTATTTTCAGGTAAAGTTGTATTGCTAAAAATACAGTTAATCGGAACAAAAAAAAATCCTACTTTTGCAAGCACCTTACAAAAAATACAATCCCATTTGCAAGCATTTTACAAGTTTTCTTTATTTCCAACAGGTATAAGAATTTCACCCGATTTCTGCATATTATAATCAGTTTAGTATCTACAACAGCTGATACTTTAAAATGATAAGCCATAAAAAGAAATGCATAATTTATAGTCTTTAAAATTTCATGGAATGTTAGAAGGAGCATTTTAGCCAATCTAATATAAAGGGCATGTTTCACTATGACGCCTTTTTTAAGACATTTCAAATCAATAATAAACCTGTATAGTTAAATTATCTGCCACTTACACTGCCAGGAATCTAACCACACATTGACAGGCGCTAAGAATAATAGACCCAAGATTTTCGCTTCAGAAAGACCCTTTATTTAGCAGATAAATTAGGCAACCCGCTCATAGGAGTCTACACATTTAGCGACAATTTTTATGGTATTTCCTCTCAAAGAAGACCAAAAATGTCTCTAGACATTATTGGAATAGATATCTCATTTAATGAGGGTATTTAAATTACTTCAGGTGCTAGCGGGGCCGGTTTGACCAAGCCAGGGACCCCTAGAAAATACGATTCTTGGGGGACGATTTATACGAATTTTGAGATATTGTTCATTGAAAAAAGTTTTACTTGTTTGAAGAAAGGCTTTTGCTATTACATTTCAACGTTTGCTTCTAATAAAGGTTCACAAAATATTCTTTTTGGGCTTCAATGACCCAGGGCATCGAGTAATTTGCTTATTGGTTAATCCGGCGCTGCGGTAGGCAAGCCAAAAGCCTATTTCCCGATATAGAATATTAAAATTAATCTCAAGTAATTAGTCAGTGAAACTGTGACAGCTAAGCTGATTATACTAATAAGACCTTGCGTCACACTAGCGCCATCTCTTGAGAGCGAAATCGAAAAATCCGTATTACATGCCTAGTGAAGCATTTTAATTTATCAAAGGCCTAACGAACGCCGGCGTTCGTACACCTATTATGTCTCGAATTACTACGATTGAAAGATTAAAAATAATTGCTCAAGTAGCTTGAAGCTTTATACAGCAATTTATACATTTATTGACAACATGAAAATGATCACACATTTTCCTAATTCGTATAAAAACATCTGGATATGACACAAGAACATTAATAACGGTCATTCTCAATAACCAATGCTGATATTACTGTAATTTTGTTTTATCACACACTAATATAATATCAAGTTTTAAATAAAAAGCCTGTGGAATGAGGATTTCATCGTTATTTTAAGGCTTGAGGCTTCTGGACTACTTCAATACGTTCAATATTTGCAATAAAGCTTTGAAAATAACAGTTATATGATTCATGCTTGCAATACTACTTACATTATTATAAAACAAAATTAGAAGAAAGCTGGCTTCACAAATATGCTTGATGAACTTTTCCAAAACGCTTCGTTTACAAGAAGAAGAATATCACAACAGACAACGGAATGGTCCAATTAAGTGCATTATTTCACATTTCAATCACTTTAGACGTTGCCACCACAAGTCCACTGATTACCGAGAAGGTCCGTAAAACACCACCCACAACCGAAAAGTTAACGCACATATAAAAGACTTACTTTATAGACTAATTTACTATACATGATATATAGCAACACATTAATAGAGAGTAGAGTAGCAAAAATAGCCATTACGTAGTCTATTTTGAAAGTGGCGTTGGACACCACATTCTGTAACAGCTACATACGTTCACAGTACCGATTCTCTTCAACCATATTCTCATATAACAAATAACCGAGTACCGCAACCAGTACGGTCATTGTTAAAGTAACGAATTGCAGCAACTTCAGTTGTTTCAAGTCTCGGTGCAGCTTTGCATAGTTCTTTTCGAGGTTGCTCAACGCTGAAGTCGCAGAATCAGACTTATCTAGAGATTTTCCTTCAACAATATTGCCGTTCTTTGGTATATCTTTCTCAGGGAACTGGCATTTGAGACGGTATTCATCAGTTTTGCTTCCAGTGGAGGATTGCCAGATTTCTGTCAATTCTTTTGGTGTAACATCAGTCTTTGGTATTTGGATAGACATAACTAAAAATCTGTCTTTAGTTACGGTCCGAAGATGTATTCCTGGTTGGACGACAATTAAAACGGTTTGAGAGGCTCCGCTGGCCAGCGTACCAGAGCTTGGTCTTACTCTAAACTTCTCTGGGGCTGTCGTTCGGATTTTGAAAGACACAGCACTATCATCCATGTTCGTTATAGTAAATTGTCCCGAAATTTCATCGCCTTCAGTTTTAAAGACAATTGTATCGTTTGGAACGAGTCGGAGCATCTCACCAGGAGAATGCTGACTGTCTCCTTGCTCAGCAAAAGTAACTTTCTTCGGAGTGTGTTCCGATCTATTCTCCGGAATGAATTCAAAGACATAGTTATCCTTACCACCCCAGCTGACCAGAGCCTGTTCCGGAGCCACAACATCCTTTAATGTATCCTTAGTAACAAACTTCATACGCTCCACAGCTTTAGCTGGTAGCAAGGTCTTCACAACCTTAAAGGCAGCTGACAAGACCCAGGGCATCTGATAAATGACTATATAATTCAAAAAGTAGGGGTAATATAGCTTAAAGAGTGTTATCAAGTACTTGACTAACTCCATATCCATATTTCCCAACCCACTACCTTCCATATCCAGGAACAAAGTGATGCGTTTTCCGCCCTCCTCTCTTTCAACGCGATCAAACCAATAAATGAGTATTTTCTTTATCTCCTCATAGTCTTTCTGGCCTTTAACATGCATTTTAGCTTTAAAAATTAACAAAAGACTACCGTCTATATCTCTTCCGTGCGTGAAAAAAACTCCTTCCTTCACGTAATCAAGTCTTATGTTCGACTCGTTAATGTCGTTCGCACCGACGGATTTACGCCAAACACAGATGTCCCAGAGCATGTTCGCTGCTTCTTTCGCGTCTTTATCCATATGCTGTAGCACTCTTTTCAAGTATTTCTCATCTTTTGCTCGTTCCAAGTCAAGTGGATGAAAATCCGGAGGTGGTGATGTTTCTTTTAATCGCGCCTCGAATATCGCTCTCACGTCCGCTGGTGTCGCCATTTTAGACAAACAGATATATCATGCGTCGATTTTACTACTAAAATCACTGATTTATTAAATTCGCTTTATTGGAATCTGATATCAAAGTCATACGCGATACGACCGACCCGATACGAATTTACTTTTTTTTATAAATGTCAGGTCACACATATCATTCTGTCAAAAGATCCAAGGACGAAGTCCAATACTTTGTGGGTAGTCTAAAATAAACAAAACCAGTTTTCTAATTAGAAAATTCACTATACATGGTGAAATATGTTTAAGTAATGTTTGGTAGTTTTGTATTTAAATTGAAAAAGGAATATATTTAAATTAAATCTAATTACACGTAATTTTTATCTTTAAAGTAACATAGTTGCTCAAAAATTAAATTAGTAGGATACATATATACACTGCGTAACAAGGAACGCTTTTGACATTTGTTAGTTATTACTGCCAGCATACAAAAATATTAGAATTTAGTAATAAAATGCAATAGATTTCTGTTTAGTAAAACCATGCCGACACGAATGAGTGGGCTAGATGGAAAGTGATACCTCGACATTATTGTCCACGTCGCCTTCTGTTTTCCTAAGTATGTAAGGTAAGGTTCGACCAAGATCTCGGTCTCAGTCTTGGTTCCAGCATTCTCATGCGTCATGATGAGATTGTAACTTTGTGCGGATCGGCATTCGAATTTTGCCACGCTAATATTTTTGAGTAGGTATTGGTTTTCACCTTCCTTATGCTTAGGCCTGCAGTAAATAGGTTTTGACCATCCTGCCTACTAGCGTAGTAAGCAAATCGCTATTTAGCAAAGCTGGATAGTTGTATGACGAGAGATGCAATTCTTTGAAAGCCAAAAAAATGATTTTTGACAATGTCAAGTACCTACTTACCTTTGATTTTTTTAAATTAAATAGTTAAAGTTGTACTAAAAAGCTTTTTTTAGTACAACAGTCTCGACTCTCAGTCTTGGCCGATAACGAAAAACCCATCTCAGTCGAGTCTTAATGTAAGGTTTTTGGAGACCTTACCCCTCATTCGTCCACAATCTCTTAATCACCTTACTCTGAATGCCTTCTAATTGTGATAACCCATAAAATGGGTCCATGAGCAGCCGTGATTGCTTACCATCACGTGATCCGTCCGTTGTTGCTTGCTGAATAATTAAACTTATTCGGTGTAGGTACATTTTAAAAGTAATAATAATAAATTATCTGAAATGACTATTAGTATTACATTTGAAATAGTGAGTGGTAATTAGTCGGGGTGACTTGTGTTTTGAATTGCTTGTACAAATTATATTATACTAGAAACACATCAAAAGAACATACAGCCAAATAACATACGTATACGTAACCAAATTTTATCGTTTTTTATTTCTTGTATGAAAATAAAACATGAACATTTTTAAAACAAGAGGTACTTAGGTAAATTTGTAATAGGTGAGTAATTTTCTAGCTTACGCTCTGACAACACTTTACGTTACCCGTCAATTTTGCTACCAACGAAAGTAGGACGAAATTCACCCTACATAATTCGCTACTTGCTTTCGTAGTAGCCTGCATTGACTTTTTATTCAATTTAAACTGTTTATTCATTCAATTAGCAATTTAGCATCATGTGACTGACTGCACGGCCTAAAATAGACGTCGGTTTAATAATAAACACAACACAACACCCGCATACATTAAAAAACTAATAAATTAAGTGTATATTTTTTCATTGAACGTAAATCAATCGATATAAATGCGAAAAATTATCCGTATACAGTTGTAAACATTCGTAATAGTGTCGTATAACTGTTAATAAACATTAATACCGAGTTAAATCCGCAGTGCTGTGTTAAAATAGTGAATTTATGTATTATTATTGTTGAAAAATATTAAGTTGTATATTTACGTAATAATTTTGGAATATAATTTATTTAAAGTGTTCAGTGGAGTGGTAATTGAAGACGGTGTTGTTTAATCTGGTAAGTAAAATTGTATTTAAAATGTTCAATAATGTTGCATAAGTAGGTCAAGCAAATAAGTATTTAGTTATAATTTATTCAATTTTTATTACGACCGGTTTTTCCGGATCACTTGCGATCCTACTCCGATTTCGAATCGTCTTTTATTATATTCAGCTCGTCTACCTATGGTCTTAATACAATTTTAATATTCTATATTTTTTTTTATAGATTTATTTTTATTAATGTTTCCTACTTTTTTAACGTAATACGCGAGTGCCATGATTAAAAGTTCGCGCGTTTTCTTTATCTGTTTTTTTATCAGAGATTATCTATTAGGAAATTCGTTTTGAAACTCATTGGTTATACATACTATGTACTTAGATAATTAATTACAAAAAGAAATTGCCAATGAAATAAAATAAAACTTTATATACCTACTTAATTTATTTTTAGAATGTGATTGTATTCAAAAAACAAATATTTAAATTACTTATTTAAGAGCTGGTTTTTCAATACCTAGTCAGATAAATGTTATCTGAGGAATTAAATTGTTGCTGTCATTGTCTAATACAAACATTCTGATGCAACAGCATCATAATTATACCCCAGGTAACTTTTATTAAACCATTGAGAAACAGAACTAAGTAAAAAAATATATAAAAATATCCTATGAACAATTTGCACAGTAATTATTTGATACCAGCTACTTCCTCAAATTTTTAATTGCTGCTCAGCTCCTTTTGGTATTAGTGTGATGTTAAATAGTCAATAGTATTTCTCTATAAATGGACTATATTTTAACACAAAAAGAATTGTTGAATTTTGATTCAGTAGTTCCGGAGATAAGTGTGTTTAAACTCAGAAACTAAATCGTTAGTTAAAAATATTAGTTTAGATAGATACAGACAAGATACCTAAAATTTTTATTTAATACAGAGACAGTAACTGTTATTACTTTACTAAATTGCTTGCTTTTTAGAATATTTTCCAAATTTATACTTCTATTCTAAAATTATAAAGAGGTAAAATTTGTAAGTTTGTATGTAGGGGGTAATCTTTGGAACCGCTGGTCGGATTCCCAAAATTCTTTCAGTGATAGATAGCTACAATGTTCCTCAGTGCTATAGCTATAAAACATCACGCTACGATTAAATGGAGCCGAGCAGAGGGTGAAACCGCGCGAGAGTAGCTAGTATTTTATATATCTATTAATATTAGAAATGCAAAAGTTTGTAAGTATGGGTGAGTGTTTGTTACTGTTTCATGTTAACACTACTCAACGGATCTGAATGTAATTTGTGACACAGATAAATCATTTTTATTACCTATAAGTCATTATTTGGATGCTAACAATATTGTTTAAACAGTATATTAAATCATCATCATCAGCCGATAAGTGCCCATTGCTGAGCAAAGGCCTCTTCTCATACGGAGACAGTTAGAGCATTGATCGCCACCCTTGCTCAATGCGGGTTGGCAAGTCCAGGTTTCCTCATGATGTTTTCCTTCACCGTATGTCAGTGGTGTCTAAATACTCATAGAAAGTACATATAACTCGGAAAAGTCACATTGGTACTTGCCAGGTTTCGAACCTACACCCTCATGCATGGGAAGCGGGCTGCTTAACCTTCCACCACCACACGACTGAGTATATTAAAATTCATAGATATGTATTTCTTTCATCCCATTTTGTTGGTTTTTAGTCAGTAAAACTGATACTCCTTTTAGCCCCCTCTGAACAGGAGAAGTTATTAAGTAAATGATTTCCCGCCTCAAAAAAAGGCCCTATTTTGTTTTCCTATTTAATTAAAATGTGCGTTAATTAACGATTAGTTTGTTATCAACGGTTTTAAAGTATGTGTATAGTGTTTCTCATTACGATTAGCAAATTAATTAGGAGTTTTTACTGCGTTTTTGTTAATTACAAATGTAGTAGTTTTCTGCTCGCGGCTTTGCCCGCATAGTCAATAAACCATGATAAATTTTACGCGTAACCCTTCTTTTTTTATGGTAGACTAGCTACTCTCACGCGGTTTTACCCGCTGCCTGGCTCCATTTAATCGTAGCCTGATGTTTTATAGCCTATAGCGCTCAGGAACATTGTAGTTATCTATCAGTGAAAGAATTTTGGCAATCCGATCAGAATTTCTAAAGATTACCCCCTACATACAAACATACTAACTTACAAACATACAAACTTACAACGTTTACCTCTGTATAATATTAGTATAGATATAGGTCGGCAAACGAGCATGAGTGTATTACCTGATGGTAAGCAATCAGCGCCGCCCATGAACACCCGTAACACTAAAAGAATTACCTACTATACGAGTACGTTGCCGGCCTTTTAGGGATAATGGTTTCGGATATTTAAGGATTTGGAAGGGATGGGGGAATCCTGTAATTTCACTGACACGCAAAGCACATCGCTGTCGTTGCTTCACTCCGGTTTTCTGTATACTATGTAAGGTAACAAAGTGTGGGAGAGATAACTAAGTTCCGGCAGCCGGGTCGGCTCGACCGGAGTGATACCACGGCCTCACAGAAAACCAGTGTGGAACAACCACAGCGTTGTGTTTCGCCGTGTGATTGAGATTACGGGATTCCCCCATCCCTTCCCAATCCTTAATTACCCGAAACCATTATCACCAAAACCGGAGCCGAGACGTGGACACTTACAGTGCGACTGATCCACCAGTTTAAAGTCGCGCAGCGAGCTATGGAAAGGGCTATGCTTGGAGTCTCTCTGAAGGATCTTATTCGAAACGAGGTGATCCGACAGAGAACTAAAGTTGTCTACATAGCCCAAAGAATTAGCAAACTGAAGTGGCAGTGTGCAGGTCACATCTGTCGAAGAACCGATGACCGCTGGAGTAAACGTGTTCTAGAGTGGAGACCACGTCTAGGCAAACGCAGTGTAGGGCGCCCTCCAGCTAGGTGGACTGACGACATCCGCAGGGTGGCTGGCAGTGGTTGGATGAGAAGAGCTGAACATCTCAGTGGCGTGCAATTGGGGAGGTCTATGTCCAGCAGTGGACGACAACAGGCTGATATCACCAAAAAGGCCGGCAACGCAATCATAACTATTTTTGATGTTGTTTTTGTCCATGGGCGGCGTTGATTGCTTACCATCAGGTTAATCCGAATCTTATGCAAGCAAGCAATAAAAAAAGTAAAATTTTTCGCATTCCTACCATTTATGGGGACAATAGAATTATTGTTTGTAAAGCTATGCGATGTTGTCAATACTCCCTACTCTGCGCTGTTTGTGTGCGATTTGATATCTTTCTGTTCTTTAATTACTTCGAACACACGCCAGATGTTATTACATACTAGCTGACCCGACCAACTTCGCTATGTCAAAAAAAGAAATGTAATGTGTTTTGTTCCTACCTATTTTATATTCTTTTCAAAAAAAAAATATCCTGAACAGAACCGCGTCACCCTGGTTATATTTCGTTAATAATATTACGTTTTAGTTAGAAAAAGTTTTTAAGTACATATGTGAAAAGGAAAAGGGCTGTTTTTAGGGTTTTCCCGGCAATTATTAGATTTTTCTCAAGTCGTAAGAACCATGCTTGGACTTCAATAAACATCTTAAAAAAAGAATTGGCCAAATTGGTCCAGGCGTTGTTGAGTTATGCGCTTACAAACACATTTTGCGATCCATTTTTATTTATAAGAAGAAGAAGAAGATGTACCTATACAGTTGGGGAAATGTTTAAGGACCCGATTCTGGTGGTCTAATAAAACAACGGGTGTTAAATGTGGGAGAGCCATGCTTCGGCACGAATGGGTCGGCTCGACCGGAGTGATACCATGGCTTCGCAGAAAAACCGGCGTGAAACAACCAACGCCGTGTGAGTTAGATTACCGGAGATTCAATCCTTCCCCTCCCTCAATCCCTCCCAAATCCCCAAAATGTCGGCAACGCGCTCGTAACTCCTCCGCCTTTGCGGGTGTACATGGGCGGCGCTGATTGCTTACTATCAGGTAATCCGATAGCTCGTTTGCCGACATATCACATAAAAAAGCATTAAAAACATAGGGTGGACTAATGCTTTAAGCATTCTCTTCTCTCAGAGAGGAATACCGAAGGCAATCAAGGAATCTTGCATATCAAGAAGCAAGCAGAGTATTTATTGAAAAGGTTAAGGCTGAAAAAGTATACATAATATTATACAACTAACTACTTACTCTCGCGCCGATTTCACCCGCTGCCGCCGCTCCATTTGATCGTAGCGTGATGTTTTATAGCCTAAAGCACTCAGGAACATTATAGCTATCTATCAGTGAAAGAATTTTGGCAATCCGACCAGCGGTTCCAAAGATTACCCCCTACATACAAACTTACAAATTTTACCTCTTTATAATATTACTTAGTGTACATAAAACTGGACAAAAAATACATATATCTATTCAATACCAAGCATTTACAAACCTGTACCTTCTTGCTAACATTTTTACCCCCGACGCAAAAAGAGGAGTGTTATAAGTTTGACGTGTCTGTCTGTCTGTCTGTGGCATCCTGGAGCCTGAACCGGTGAAGCGATTCCAATTTAGTTTTTTTGGTATTAAAGGTGACTTACGTGCGAGTGTTCTTAGACATGTTTGACGAAAATCGGTTGAGCCGTTTAAAAGTAATGGGTGGGGAGGGGGGGTAAGTGGGGAAGGGTAACCGAAGGTCTGCAAATATACTCGAGTGGGGTGTTAAATGAAAGCGCACTGAAAGGGAATGTTGATGGCTTAATCGAGAGAAAATGATATAAAATACCTATAAAAAGTATAAATTAAAAAAATTAATTAGACCCCCGACAAAATAGAAATAGTGTGTAGTTGATAATAAAATATTTGGATCGGTCCTCTAACGCCGCGTTTTCTTTTAATTATTACTTTTTAAAGGAATTAATATTCCCTAGAAATTTTGTCGGGGGTTTTTTATATTTTAAATTTATAGTTATTACAAAGATACATGCAAAATTGTTTACATTTAGTTAATTAGGTACCTAACTGATAGA